TACATATGTCATATTTTTAGAACTTAAGTGCAACTTATAATATATTTTATAGAAAAAAAAAACAAAAAAAAAGAAAGAAAGAGAAAAAAAATATCAAGGAACTTGAATAACTTTCCAATTTATTTTATACTCCTTCTGTCTCTTATATGCTTTAAAAAATCTAAAAATAACGAATTTTAGATGACAAAATTACTCTCTTATTTTTTTTTTTTGTTCATAAAATCTTTATAAATTTATATAACATATTATATTATGTATGTATGTATAATTATGAGTGTAAGACGTGTAGATGATGATATGATGAGTTTGTCTTGTTTTTTCATTTTTTTTTTTTCTTCATTGTTTAGATCCTTATATTTTATAATATAATACTATTATGTATATATAACAGAATGTTATACATTTAATATAACAGAAGTAGCGTATACATACGGTTGTATAATATTATCGTGATGTCTTTTTTACGCTACTCATACAGCTTTCTTTTTTATATATTTTATAATTTTTTACATATTACTTTCTCTCGGATAAATTTAAGTAGATATAAAAAAGGAAACATCACAAAACATTAAAAAAACACAAAAAAAAAGGAAAATTTTTTTTGAAAGATGTCTTCGTATGTATATGCACTTATTGTTATACATATTACAAGAAGCGAAGGAGAAAGAGAAAAAGACACAATTTAAGAAAAACCAAGTGAAAAATTTTTATATCTAAAACAAAAAAACAAACGAAAAACAAAAGGAGAGAACAAACCACAAAACTCACACTTTTAATGCTTAAAAAATATACTAGGAGAATAATATGGTTTGAACTTTTAAGCAACCTTTGTTGTTATTAATGTTATACTATAGTGTTGTAGTTGTGGTTGTTGTTTTCATTATTATTATAAAGAAAAGAGAATTTTCTCATTATTGTAAGATGGAGTTATTCTTATAATGAAACTTAATCGTTAATATTATTTGATTTTACTTATGACAAAAGTAATAAAATGATTTGTCAAAATTTATAAAAAAAAAAAATTTTATAAAAAATTTTTAATTTATTTATAATTTTGAGATTTTATCGCTTAAATTGATTAATCTTAAATTATACGTTTTATTTGAAGTTTTTTTTTAGGATCTCATTAATATTTTACGGTCTCTCATTACATAAGATTAAAATCTCTATATTAAACATGCTTAATTTAATATTGATATTCGAGAAAGTTGAATTTTTAATTCATGTGTATGCAGTTGCAATTTATTCTAAAATCTTACAATTCCCAAACTACTCTTAATAAATTAAAGAGCAAATAAACTTTAGTTTATGAGAGAGAAGTGAATGAATTGCAATGTTGGCATGACATTTTATAAGTAGAATTATAAGTAATAAATAATTTATATTTTACTCAATTTTAATTGCATACATGATAGTTGTTATGCATGCAATTAAAAATTAATATAAGCATGACAGCTGTTACTCGTATGCATGCAATTAAAAATTAACAAAAGCTCGTCTTTAAAAAAAATAATAACTTATATGTTTATTTTTGAGTTAGAAAGAGAGATTAAATATTATATTTACTCACATAATGTTATAATTATTTATTTAGAGAAATCTGTTTAAATTGTCATTTTTAGATTTTAATTTTTTGATGAGAAAATGTATACTTGTGATGTGTGATCAATAAAATGAGATCAAATGCACAATACAGTTTCCGAGTGAGTTGAATAAAATGCTGTTCTCTTACTGCTTCTGTATATTTAGTAAAATATTATTATGTCAACTACTATACGTAAATGTACACGAAAGTAAAATTGTCAAATTAATGAAATCTGTCAACTCGTATATATAGGTAGAGTGGATATTAAACTTATTAAACTTAGTAAACGTGTTGCCAAATTTAAAATTGTAAGAAGTTAACAAGTTCGAAATGTTATTATAGAAATATTTTTATTTTTCTCTTAATTTTTAATTCAAAATTTATTTAAAAAAAAACTTCAAAAACTTTTTTGACAAAAAAATTCAAAATATATGACGTTCAAACCTTCAAACCAAATATCAACTTAGTTAATTTGTTATACAAAAAAAAAAAAAATATCATTGAAATTTTTTTTTCCTAATTTTTAAAATCGAAACACGTACTAAATATACAAAAAAAAAAAAAAACAAATGTAAAAATATATTTTTGTACTTCAGTTATTTTGACAAATAACCGTACAATATATATATATATAGAAAAAAATCCTTCTTAGAATTTTATTTGAATAGTAATTAGGTTAAAGCTAAGTTTTTTAATACTATTTACTATAATGTATTGAGATTATTTTTCAGGATAAAGGATCATAATGTATTACATTAGAAGCATAGATCATATACTTATACATACACTGAAAAAAAACCTCTCACTTCGTAATAAATTTTGGGAAGTGGGGTTGCCAACATTAAATGTAGTAGATTTCTATTTGAAGATGATTGTAGATGAGTAGCCGCTTTAAAAAAATCTTTAGCATAAAGCAAAAAATGATTCGGGTTCGATTATTGTTGGAAGTTAACGAATATTTTCCTTTTTGATGACATTATACTAGAATTAAAAATTAATTACAAAATATAATGTCTCGAATCATACCAACAACCTGCCAAAATTAATTTTAAATATGTGAAAAATGTTAGTTTCATGAAATTTAACGGTTATGTTTCGAATTAGAGCTCAGATATGTCAAGTAGATGGCGTTCCATACCCCAAAAAGCAAATTTTCATTATTTTTCCATTCAACCTTTAAAGTTAATTTTCAATGTTTCAAAAACTGATTGAAGTAACTCTATGAAATTTAATGAAAAATTTTTAAATTACAATTTATACACGCCTCAAATATTTTCCTCAGTTGGCCCATTAAATTTTGTTTATAATCAATACAGTGTCAAATTTTTGAAAATCGAATTGTCATTATGTATAGGGCATAATTCAGTTGATTCAGAAGGACTTAAATGTTTTTACTTGTTTTAAAGTAATTTCACACTTATTTATATATCAATTGATATTAAACGATAGAAAAGTACATTTCACATTACACAGTGTTATTACAGTAAATTTACTACAAAAAAAGTAATCAATTATTTACTCAAAAACCATCTTGTTTATTAATAAGAAAAATTGTGTATAAAATTCCCATACAATTTTCTAACAGTGTATATATTTAAAAATGTCTATGAATAATATTACATTATAGCTAGTATACTTATGCTATTCATTTTTAAAAAATTACCGTAGGACGTAAAAAACATAATTCACTTTTCAAGAAGAGACAGTAAATTATGATGCGCCTTTTATATCCGGTGTCCTGTATATTATTTTTATAATATTCTGATGGGATTTATTTTTGGACATTTTTCCGTTTTCTTTCTTTTTCGGTTTTTTTTGTAATTCTAAATTATACATGAAAACTTTTTCTATTTCTTCATTCGGTGTGTATTATTATGTTTATCTTTTGTTATTTTCATTAAAATGATGATGATAACATTATGTACCAAAAGAGAGATGTATGTGTTTTAAAAGAATGATGGAAGGGAATGAGATGAAAAATTGTTTATTCATTTTTCTAAGTTTATTCAATTTGTATAGTTTGTATTTAGAACTATTTTGTTGTTTTTTTTTTGGTTATTCCAAATAAAAGGATAACAGTAGTGAGTGAGGAAGAAGTGAGAGGGAGAGGGAGGGAGGGGGAAAAACATCGGATGAGATATATAGAAATAAGAAAAATGACTTCCTGACGAATTTTATTATACAAGTTTTCTTATAAGATTCTACGATAGTTTTTGAATAGAAATGCAAAAAAAAAAATATTAATGGGAACAGAATAAAATTTTATTGTTTTGTCTTCTTCTTATACATACGTGTGTATGTAGTGAGGAATTCTTAATTCTTTATTGTGAATTAAAATATTTCTTGTGTTTAACTTAAAAAACAAAAGAAGACCGAAAAATTGAAATGAATTAATATGTGAAATTTTTTTATGATTTCATAAATAAAATTCTGAATTTTTCATTAGAATTGTTAAAAATTCAAAAAGAAAATAAAAAACAATTAAAAAAATTTCATTCGGTCTAAACCGCTTTAATTATACCCTTCCTGTCTTACCTTAACAACTATTTAAATTTAGAATTAGCTTTCATGGTTGTATAGCTTTCATGGTTGTATCTGTCAATGGCCGCAAAATCTCATGAGCCTAACTTTATTATTTTTTCCAAATATTTAAAATTAGCTTTTAGAATTGTATGTAAGCTACCTGAATCAATACAGCTATTCAATTAAAATTTTTACAGTATATTTAGAATTTAATTAGACACACGTATACAAAATTTCATATTTATAACTTTATTAGTTTTTGAAATATTTAAAATAATCTCTTTGAGTTGTACGGCAATTACCCTAACCCGTTGTCCGAATTTGTCCAATTAAAATAGGGTCCGTTCTTGAGATAAATGAAATTATTTCTGAAAGTTTGGTGCCGATTGCATTATTCGTTTTTGAGTTATGATCCGATCGGACAAACGGACGGAAATGTCTAAATCAACGCAGAATTTTACGCTGAGCAAGAATATATATACAGGTCTATACCGGGTACAACTCAGCTCCGTTATAAACTCCGTACCAAAGTTAATATTGTCTTCATGAAGGTGCAGGGTATAGAAATATTGAATTAATTAATTAATATTTTAGGTTATTAAAGTTTTAAAACAAAGGAATTGTTAAAACATTTTAAGACAAATAAATTGAGTTTAAGGTTTTCTAATAAATATTTATAAAAATATTTTGTAAAATATTCAAGAAAATTTTTATTTCTTAATAATAAATTATTTATTTTTTTTTTTTTATAAACTAAAAAATTATTAGAGCACTTAGTTAAATTAAAACAAACTGAAATTTAATTAATAAAATTTAAAAAGTAAATTTTGTAATTTTTTGTAAGTCGAAACTATAACCCTCTTGAATATTAATATTTTTATTTTTCTTTTAGGTGGCATGGTGCTCAAAACTTGAATTTAAAAACTAACCTGGGAGATGCTACTAATAAACATAAGTTGTAGGTGTATAATGAATGCCATTTTGTTTATTTTGTGTTGTAAAACACTTGGATATTGAAAGAGTTGTTATGGTAAATATTTAATTTTTTTATTCTGTTATATAAAAATTATTTTTATAATTTAAATATTAATTTTCGTACAATTAACTTCACTATTAAGAAATTAATTAAAAGAAATTTTAAAGCAAAATACAAAAAAAATTACTCTATTAATGAGCCCCTCTTCGGGCGTCACTATAAATCTGTTAAAAAACTATATGCCCTAAAAAACATTTTATTCATTGGATATTTTCAAATAGTAGTACTTTTAATCCGAACCCAACAATGTTCAATATAAAATGAACGGAACAATATTGAAAATTTTAATATTTTACTAAGAGTTTACTATAAATGATATACTAAAATACTAAAATTCTATAATATAAAATAAAATCGTAATTTAACATTTCTCCGTTAATTTTGCCTTACTTTATAAATTTAAGAAATATTCAATCAAAACAAATCAGAAAAATTTTTTAACCACCATCAAAATTAACAAATTTATATTTATGAAAAATTTGTTACAACTATTACAAATTATTAATATATTGCCCCAAAAAATATGCAAAATTTTTAAATGTCTTAAATTTTTAAGAATATTTTTAGTATTACTTAAAGCTTTAGCAGACATGAAATTTTTTGTTTTGCAATATAACAGTTTTATTGGAAATTAATTACAAAATTCATGGCTTATTTTTATTCCATATGTTTATATTCAAGCACGGATAAATGCAGTTGTATGATCAAATTGTTTGAACTAGTTACATTAGTTGCTTAATTGGGCGCGCAATTTATTTTGCATTCAAATAATTTCAAAATTAAAAATTGTATGTCTGCCTCGATCTAGTAATGAAAATAATAACATTAAAATGAAAATCCAGAAATTATTCGAGTGTCACGAATTTATAATTAATAAAAATTAATAATTTACGATAAACAAGATAAATCAAAATTGAGAATTTTTCAATTTCTTTATGAAATCATTTCGAAATTATTTTCAATTTCGAAATAATTAGAAAAAAATAATAATAATTTTTTACCAAATTATTTCAATTTAAGAAGTTGTACGCACAAAACCAAAACCCCTCGTATATCAAATAAAGATGTTTTTCATTTGAAATCATGCTGAGCTCATCCTTATTAGAATTTTTGTTAAAAGTTAAAATCTTATTTTTTTCTCATTCTCTTCTTTTTTTCGGATTATTTGTTTTTTCTTTTTTTTTTTTCATATAAAGAGTAAATTAGAAGTAATAAGAATAACAGAAGAAAATCAAAAAATGAGCAAATAAACAACTAAATTTAAATTTTATCTTCATTATCGTAATCATATGTCTATATGATTGGATGATTATTATGCCAAACTTTTGGTTTTTTATTTTATTTTTTTTTTATATTTCTTTTCTTTTTTTCGAACATATTCTTGTTTAATTTTATATTTCGAAGAAGAAGAAAAAAAAGAGCAAACAGAAACAAAATCTCATTCTCTTCTATTGAAATAAACTTAGCATGACATTTTTCTCTCTTACAATCTTATGCCAAATCAAATAACATAAACAGACTTTAATTCTCTAATATAAAAGACAGTTTTTCCTGTTTTTTTTTTTAGAAAAAAAAAAAATTGCGAGGAATCAAGTAAACAAAATCGTTTTCGATTCCAACAATTTTTTCTTTTGAAAATTTCCTGTTATTATAAAAGTTTCCAATTTTTTTTTTCATTCCTTAGAAAAAAATTTATATTTGTTATAAAAAAAATAAGAAAAGTTTCTTTTTCTCTCCTTCTTCCTTTTCAACAATAATTTACATATTATTATTCAGCAACAAATATCGTAATTTATTTCAATTATGATTATTTTTTTTTCTCTCTCTTTAAAACATACTTATATACACACGGGTATCTTCTTCATATTATGTATATTCGCACCCTGCTGAGAATTATACCGTAATAATTGAAAATTATTAATTTCAATTCCAACAAAATTGTTTTTAATTCCAAAAATTGATACCGTATCGAGCTAAAAGTATCTAGCCCAAAAATTGTAATATTTTTTAACAATTTTTTGAAATTCTAAAATTCTCCCGCTTTTTTAGGGACTAATTGTAACTATCAAGAAAATTTGTATAAGAAATGAAAAATAATTGAAATGTGTATGACAGTTTCTTTGTTAATACTAGTTATAATAGTAACAATGAAAAGTTCTACCAGAATTATGTATTTCGAATTTTTCTGGTCAAATACTGTCGGAATTCTAGACAAGTTCATTAAATAAAGTTTTATTTAGTTTATGGGGGGAACATATTGGAAACGAAATGCTAATCGCAGAAAAAATTGTGAAACTTGAATTGAAAAAGTCTCTTCAAAAGTCGCTTAAAATAATGAACTAGGTTTTTTTCGTGGTAATTTTTTTAAATTTTAAAATTCTCACATCTATGCAAATATCTCACAATTTTTCCTCTTAAAACTTAATTTAATCGAAATTATAAAATCAGAAATATTCTGGTCTTACCCTCAAGGTGGCATAATATGTGCTATCTTATGAAAATATTCATATGTGTGAATTATAATGAGATATACATATATATGGAATCAATTTGTATAATTTAATGTTTATGATATTGAAAAAGGAAAAATGGAAAAAATAAAAATAAATTATAAAATTTACAAGAGCTTTTCAAAGGAATATTAAAATAAAAAGGATATTTATAAAATAAGATTTTTACATATTAATACCATATATATATATATATATATATATGATATGAAAATGTTAAAGATATTTTCACGCATAGTTAATTTATAATTTGGAAATGTGGGATAAATACATACATTTGCTCACAATAATAATTATTGAACTATTGAAAATATTTTCCCAAAAAAAAAAAGGAAACAAAGAATGTTAATAATGAGGGAAGAGTTTAAAATTAGAATATAATTGAATAAAAGTTTTTATTACAATTATTAAATAAAATTAAATGTAAAGTTATACGGCACAAATATTTTGAGTATAAATTTAACACTCAGAAAAATTATAACTCGAAATCACATTATGGTGCGTTTTATTAAATTATAATACATTTTCTTTCAAATTTTATTGAGGATAGTTTGTATAACACTTTTGTATAACACTTTTATCTATATAAATGCTGTCAACGATATTCTATAAAAGATTTACGAGCTTTTATCCTGTAAACTGTTCTCATTTTAGTATAAATGAAATATTGAAAATGAATAAAAATAAATTATTAGTTTCGATCTCTCATTATATTACAAAAGAGTAAATAATGACAAAATAATGATATACACGTGAGTAAATTTAATACATGTACGATTTACATATAAAATATAGGATAATTTTACTTTAATTAATTACATGTTTAAATGAGAGGAATGTAGCGCGTAATTTTTAATATAAAATCTATGTATAACAGATTGTATAAGAGAATATAAAAATACTCTTATACAATCTATTCCACTACCACAGATACGCTGCTATTGTAAATACGCTAAATACTCTATAATCTCGTTTATTATTCACAATTTAACGAAACTATAATCCCTTAATCCATTTGCTCATTATCTTTTCAAATTTATAGTATATAATTATTTTTAATATCGCACTACACGATCATATATTAATAACTTTACTAAATACATTAAAAAATTTTTCATAATTTCTGCATTTTTGTAATAAATTTCAAATTTCCATTATTTTAATATAAATCAAACAATAAATTTATTTCTTGTGAGAAGAGAAATTTTAATAATTAATGTACCTAAAATCGTAAATAAAAATATTCACCAATTTGCAAAAATTTCCAAAACAAAAAACAAAAAAAACAATATTGCATATCCATTTGTTTTAAACCAAAATATTGACCATATCGAACATGTTATAAAAGAATATTTATTATATATGAAATACTAAAAACTAATTTCTGAGATTACGGAACCCAAACTATTTGCTTTCTAGTAGTAAATGTAGTGAAATTGAAATTATTACCATTAATAACTACAAAATTACGATTTATGACTTACATTGCTTTTAGATTATATACACATACAAGTAAATCTATCATAAATATAACAGTTTTTATATCATCTACTATTCAATGGTCTACTAGTCTTGTTATATCATAGTTTAGTGCTTACAAAACTTAATAGTTTTTGATATTATTTACAATATAACAGTATGCAAGTATATTATATAATATTTACACGGACTCAATTAGAAATATAAATTTTTATAAACTCAATTTATATTATATTGTGTGTATATCTACTTTGTATATATATATTATAACAGTATTATTATAACAATACATATAGTTTTTTTTCCTATTATTAAATTTTTGGGGATCAATTTTTATGACTTCTTAAAATATTGTTCACTGTTATAGTGGTAAAAGCGCGATTTTTTCAAATAAATTTTTATTTTTATCTTTTTTATAGTCATAAAAGTATTATGGAACCAATAAAGTATATATTTACGAAATAACACTATGCTATTGTGCCTTCTAATATTAAATATGTATATGTAATATAGTTACATAAATATTTCTACAAATAGTTATCTAAAATAACATAAACGTTACTGTGGTGCGTAGATATTCTCAATAATATTGTGCAGGTTAAATTTATTTTAAAATGTATATAACACATAAGGGAATAAATAGAATTAGGTTTAGTGTAAAACCACATCAGCCATTACCAGAAAAGTATTCTTTAAGCTCATATCAAGTCAAATGGAAAATAAAAGTAAATTTGTATGAAATCAAACAATTTAAATATAAAATTTGGGATCATATCAAACATAGGAGGGAATTAAACTTTGAATTTGTATGAAATCACACGAAATAAAATATTTAATTTGAGATATGTTTGAAATCAAACCATACTTAAAATAATCGTTTAGTTCGTACGTAATGAAATAAGATTCAAATCAAACTATAAGTTTGTGTTGCCGTGTTAGAAATCAAACGATACAACACAATTATATTTTGTAATTCTCATAACAATCAAAAAAAAATTAATAATT